TTCGTGTCTCTATTATTTCTTGATTTAGCAGGCTGAGACATTTAAGGTACAAGGCTGACCGTGACACCCATGCCTGAAACTGCTGGCTGCCCTTTGGAATAATGTCAAACTCCTTACTAGGGCTAACCAGGCCTGCATCTTCTGAACCTTCCACCACCCTTATCTACTTCTCATTTTGTTTTCTTTCCCTTGTCCATGTGCATTTTCAATTTTCACATCTTTAGAATGCCTGCTTCCTGGTATTTGTGCCTGTGTAATCCCCTCCCTTGGAATGTGGGTGGACTTTAGTGACTTGGTTCTAAGGAACAGAACTTGTCAAAAGTGATGGAAGGTCACTTTTGCTGATTGGGTTACAGAAAGGCTCTGGTTTCTGTCTTGCTAGCCCTCTCTTGCTTTCTTGCTTGCTTGTTTTAAGAGGAGCCAGCTGCCCTGTGGAGAGGCCCATGTAGCAAGGGAACTAAATAGTAACAGCAACACCATGCAGGGGACTGAACCCTGCCAACAACTGTGTGAGTGAGCTCTGAAGCAGATCCGCCCCAGTTGAGTCTGCAGCTGATACTACAGCCCTGGTTGACACATTAATGGCAACTTTGCAAAAGACCTTAGCCAGAGGACCCACTTCAGCCCAGAACTTTGACCTGCAGAAACTGTAAATTATATCTGTTGTCCTAAGGCACTAAATGTGAGGGTCATTTGTTACACAGCAACAGATAATTAATGTAATTATTACACCATATTTTTTTCTGTTCAGTTGTAGAGTTTAAAATTTTTTCCTTCTTAACTTCTCTGGCCTACCGGTATACTATCAAAAACTATGTTAACAGGCAGGTGTTCCTTCTCTACCAGTTTCAGTTAGCAGCAGCTGGCAGAAGCCGCAAACCTGTGCCTATTTCTGTTCATCTCTACGGGAATCTAGGACTGTGCTTTGGGGTCCTAAAAAACAGAGCTGAACAATAGAGCACATGCTACTACGGAAACACAACAGGACCACGACATGAAAATGCTTTCCTTTTAAAGAAATATTCCAGGCTCGGCGCCTGTGGCTCAAGTGGCTAAGGTGCCAGCCACATACACCTAAGGTGGTGGGTTTGAATCCCCAGCCCGGGCCCGCCAAACAACAATGATGGCTGCAACCAAAAAATGGCCAGGCATTGTGGCGGGTGCCTGTGGTCCCAGCTACTTGGGAGGCTGAGGCAGGAGACTCACTTGAGCCCAGGAGTTGGAGGTTGCTGTGAGCACTCTACCCAGGGGGATAGCTTGAGGCTCTGTCTCAAAAAAAAAAAAAAAAGAGAAATATTCCAGCCTCTCTACAACAAATGAGTATTGTTCTTCTAAGCAGACACTGTTCAAATAATTTCTGGAATCCTTCTTTGAGAATTGCCTTCCCCTGTCTATTTCCACAACGTGTAAGAACCCTGGGCTTGGTCCTCCAATCTGTCCTCCTGTTTTTGTTTTTGAGACAGAGTCTCACTTTGTCACCCTTGGTAGAGAGCAGTGGCATCGTAGCTCACAGCAACCCTAAACTTGGCCTTAAGAGATTCTCTTGCCTCAGCCTCCTGAGTAGCTGGGACTACAGGCACCCGCCACAACGTCCAGCTATTTTTAGAGAAGGGGTCTCACTCTTGCTGAGGCTGGTCTTGAACCCATGACTTCAGGCAATCTACCCACCTCGGCCTCCCAGAGTGTCAGGATTACAGGCGTGAGCCACTGCGCTGGTCCCATCCTCCTGTTTCCCCCATCTCCTGACCCCATTCCTAACTGCACGACCCTTCCCTGCTCTAGCTGAAACTTCCCTTCCTCAGGACAGCCTTGTGCTGAGGCAAGTGCCACTCCTTCTGCTACTTGTTCCCAGGGCTTTTTCTTACCCTTGAGTGACACTTGTTATGAACTACTCTAATCACTTAGATCTCATTTCCCACTGATAGACTGAGAGCCCCAAGAAGGCAGTAACTTTATTTACTGCTGTGTCCCTGGGAACTGGTCTCAGCCCTAGCTCCAGTAAATAATTATTAAAAGAATGAATAAATTGGCTGTTCCCTGTTTGCAAAAATCAAATCTATTCTTAAAGGACCAAAATATATCACCCTTAATAAAGGTTACCAGCCAACATTTACTGGAGATGAAAGCCCAAATATTGGCCTGTTAATATTGCCTTATTTCATTCAATCCTCTCAGCAATCCTAGGAGGTGAATATATCACCCCCATTTTACAGATAAGGAAATTGAACCTCAGAATAGTGAATATCTTACCCCAAACCACACAACTGGGAGGCTGTTCAACTCCAAAATGCAAACCATTATGCTATATCATTTTTTCATTCTCACTGCATTTTTTTTTAACGTTTTGGAAATTTAGAAAGATTGATATGTACAAAGAAAGAAATTCTAATCCTTCATATTTCTGACAAGCAGGATTATAAGCGATTTTAACATCTTGGCATATTTTCTTCCAGCTTCCTCTTTATTTAAAAAAAAAAAAAAACTCCATCCCAAATTGTTGAGAACATTCAGAAGAATGTGCTGAAGGCCCCCTTTTAAAACTATTTTTAAAGAAAGCAGAGTGGAGTTTGGGGGCACACGGCCACGTTGGGATAACTTTACTGTCTCCCGGGATGGCACCAGGTAAGTCTGAGTGTGAGATGGAAAAGCCGGTCCTATCAGTCAGCAACACCTGCAAATGTTCCAGAACTGGGTGCAGATCATTTAGGGGAGGGAGCGATGTACCTGTCCACTGCCTGTGCCCCTAGGTCAGTGATTTTCAACCAGTATGCTGCGTACACCGGGGCGCTGTGAGAGATTCTTAGGTGGGCTGGGAAAATTTTTAAATATCATTAATTAAATTATTTTCAAAAGAACTTCAAAGCACAGTAATTACATTCTTTTTTTTTTTTTTTTTTGCAATTTTTGGCCAGGGCTGGGTTTGAACCTGCCACCTCTGGCATATGGGGCCGGTGCCCTACTCCTTTGAGCTACAGGCGCCACCCCGTTCTTTTATTTTTTTACTCTTTTTTGGATCAACATAATTTAAGTGTGGTGTGCCAGTTTAACTATAGGTTCAAGTGTGCTGTGAGATGAAAAGGGTTGACAAACGCTGCTCTGGGTTACTTGCTCGCCTTGGGAAAAGGGAGCCTAAGCACTACGTGGGTCATTCACAGACGTTTTGAGAAACACAAAATCAAGAAAGGTAAAATCTGCACGGAAACAAACGAAGCCCCCCCAGCAACACGTGGATAGGCCAAACAAGTGGAAACAGGTGAAGCAGGAAGGACGCTGTCAGCTGTGTTTCTTGGAAGTGAAATAATGGACTGTAACACAGTCTGTCTCAAAACTTTCATAGTGACCCACATATAATCACCCCACCCACTAAGCTGGCTCCAAGTTCACTCCTGGAAGTTTTCAGCCCCGTCCAGGGCACCCCTCCTTCCCTTATCCGGTCCTGGTCTTCCAGATTGTGTGTGTGTGTGAGAGAGACAGCGCGTGCACCCCAGTGCACCTGCAAGAGAAACAGCCCCTTTCCTGTCCCTTCCCACACTGCAGGGAGCAGCATGCCCCCCACGATTCTGCCTGAATCACAGCTTGCTTTTTTGTGCATTAGACCTATTTACACTTCTCATTCCCTGTCAGACTAGGCCTTTCACAAGGGCAGGGACTGTTTTTCATACATCTTTCTGTCTGCATATTTGACGCACAAGATACCCAGTAAATAAAGACAACAGCTGTGAGAAAATAGAAAAAGGCTTGAAATCAGATAGACCTGCTTCAGTTCTAGCTCTGCCATATAGTAGCTGTGTGACTTTGGGCGAGTGACTTAACCCTCTCTGAGCTTCGATTTGCTTATTGGCAAAGTGAGGGCCGTAATACCTTTGAGTTTGACAAATGACGACTAAATGGTTTATATGTTCAACATCTTAGAATAGTGCATAGCAAAGAGCATGTGATATTTCTAGACCATAGCAAGAATTCAAGGACCTGGATTCTGTTGTAGGCATTGCTGTAGTCCTAGAGCGAGCTTTTATAACTTCTCTAAAGCCCAGTGCCCTCATCTGTAAGGTGAGGATTCCCACCTCACAGAACTGCTTAGCTCTTTCTTTCTTTCTTTACTTATTCAGAAAAAGTCTCAAGCTGTTGCCCTGGATAGAGTGCCATGGCATTATAGCTCACAGCAACCTCCAACTCGGGCTCAAGTGATCCTCTTGCCTCAGTTTTTTTCTATTTTTAGTAGAGATGGGGTCCACTTTTGCTCAGGCTGGTCTTAAACTCATGAGCTCAAGCAATCCACCTGCCATGGCCTCCCAGAGTGCTAGGATTACAGGCATTAGCCACCGTGCCTGGTTGCTTAGCACTTTAAATAAAAAGTAATACGCATTATGGCTGGGTGCAATGGTTCGTGCATGTAATCCCAGCATTTTGGGAGGCTGAGATGAGAAGATTGCTTGAGGCCAGGAGTTTGAGATCAACCTGGGCAACATAGTGAGACCCCATCTCTAAAAAAAATAAAAAAGATAGCCAAGGGTTCCTTTTGAGCCCAGGAATTCAATGTTACAGTGAGCTATGATCACACTACTGCACTCCAGCCTGTGCAACAGAGTGAGATCCATCTCAAGAAAAAAATACACACAAAAGTATTTGACTCAGTAGGTCCTGAGGGAAACCTTTGTTTTGCTTTCTAGACAAATCCGTGCCTTCCTTGTTAACCTTTGGAATCTTTTAGCCACAGCGGTGAAGGGGGACAGCATTTGGGCTCAGCTCTATAATGAGTCCAAGACAGACTCTAGAAATGGTTATTGGCAGATAGGCCCAGCCCCGGGGGGCCTCCAAGCTAGAGAACACAGTGGCAAGAAGCTGGAAAACTCAGCTCTCCACATCAAAAGGTACATGGTCCCAAGGTGCCCTCATGCAGCAGAAAGAGTCCAGGTCTTTCTATAAAGACAAATCATGCTGTCCCTAACAGCTGCAAGCAATGATAGGGACAAAGAATAAGACACTCTTCTGACTCAGGATGTTCTGTGATGTTTATAATTAGAAAAGTTGCTCGGAACAGGCTAAAACCTTGGGAAGGCCAGGGGGAAGCAGTCCAGACTTGGCTGGAGTTTTAAAGAGGGCCCATGGGAAGGAAGAGAAGAGGTGGGAGTGTTGTGAGTCTCAGGCAGGACAAGGTGGGTTGCAAGAAGGGGCCCTGGCTCAGGCTGGAGGGAAGCCCTTTGAATATCATTTGGAAACGTCATCTATCCCTGTCCAGCCCCTTAGGGTTGTGCCCATTTGGCAGGTGTCCCCAGGTCGGTGAGGCTGTCTTTATGAAATTCTCCCTTAAGCACCTGTGGGAACCCAAGTTGTCCCAGGGCTGGGTGTTCTCTGGCGTTCACTTCATCTTCTGCAGATCCTCAGGCCCAAAGGAGGCAGGCAGCAGCTCCTGGACTGTCCTGACAACATACGTACCATCCAGCTTGGTCATGTACACAGCCCAGTTGGTGCCAAACTGCAGGAAAGAGGCAAAGACAGCATGAGAGAGGCAGACCGAGGAGTTAGGGTAGATCTAGGTTTGAGTATGGCTCTACAGCTTACTGTCTAATATTGCCCTGTGCCTCAGTTTTCTCATCTGTAGAATGGGCATGACATGAATTGAGCTTGGCTCATAGATCTTGAGGGAGGAGCAAATAAAGGGAAGCTATTAAGCAGTTAGCACAGGGCTTGGCACATTGTTGACAGGCAATGGATACTCCATTGAGGAGTCACCTAGGGCTTTATAAGAACAATATCTTATAAAGTAGCCAGACCTCCTTCTGCTATGACAAATGACACTTAACACCTATTTCCCTGACAGTGTCTGCTTTACTCCTCACATGAGGAGAAGCTGTATGCTTGCTGCATTCCACACAGACGTTGCACATGCGTTGTTTCATTATCTACCCTTTGAGGTAGGTGCTGTCATGGTGCCCATTTTACTGATGGAGAAATCAAGGCATAGCAGGGTAAAGACAGCAAAGACAAATGTATCTTTTCATCTTTCCTGCCACGATGAGGAACACCACTTGCTTGCTGTGACCTTGGGCAAATGGCAAATAGTAACTCTTTGGGGCTCATTGTCTTTCTCTGTGAATTTTCTTTTTATTTATTTATTTGTTTTGAGACAGAGTCTTGCTCTATTCCCAGGCTGGAGTGTAGTGGCCATGATTATATAGCTCATTGTAATCTGTAATTCCTGGGTTCAAGCAACCCTCTAGTCTCAGCCTCCCAAGTAGCTGGGACTACTGGCATGTACCACCATGCCTAGCTAATTAAAACAACAACAAAGCATTTTTTTTTTTTTTGTAGAGATGGGGTCTTGCTGCTGAGGCTGGTCTTGAACTCCTGGCCTCAAGCAATCCTCCTATCTCAGTCTCCCAAAGTGCTGGGACTACAGGTGTGAACCACCACACCCAGCTTGAAATTGTTTTAGAGGTGAAAGAATGCAAGAAGTGCAGAGTTAAATTCGCTGTGGCATCATGGCAGGGCTCTGCAGTGGGCATCAAAAGACCCTGGCTGTACCTGGCCAGGAATCATGAAAATTTGTGATAATTCGTGTAAAGCGTCTGTCTGCAGTGGCTGGCACATAGTAGGTGCTCAGTGAATGGAAGCCGTGCTTACTGATTACGTTTTGGTTGCCAGTAACTGCTCAGGTTTGCAGCCTCCTGTTCCTCCACGCATCTGTCTGAATCACCAAGTTATTACCAGGCACAATTAATCTTCCAGCTTCTTTAGAAGTAATGTTTTAAGAGAGGAAATTTTTCTGCTTGGCAGGCTTTGCAGGAGGGTATGGGTGAAAGTTAAGTCGTGCGGAGGCAAGTTTAAGTGCCTTATTTGCATTTTGGTTTCAGTTCTGCCTCTCCCTCCTTCAGCTTTTTCATCCGCCTTCTCTCGTTTGCCAACATCTAATCTGTTTGGAGAAAACAGCGATGAGCAATTGGACCAAGCGGGGGCCTTGGGAGCCAGGGACTTGGTGCCCGGTCGTGGTTTCCTTACGTGACCTTAGGCTTTGCCACCTTGCAGGGCAGCTATTTCTGCCCCCTCTAAATTGAGATGAATTCCATAGTGTGAATTCAGTGCTTTTCTGGT